AGGGAGGGAGGGAGAGGATGGGAGAGAGGGAGGGAAGGAGAGAGGGAGGAAGAAGAAGGAGGAGGAGGGGGAGAGAGAAAGAGGCGAAGAGAGAGGGAGGGAGGGAAGAAAGAACACTAGAGTTAAAGTGTTTTTAGAGATGTGTCATTTCCCTCAGATGTATTTATTTTTAAATTTTTTATGTGTGTGTAGGTGTCACTTTGAGCACCATGTGAGTGCACATGACAGCAGGAAGCAGAAAAGGGTATTAGATCCCCTGTATCTGGAGCTAGAGGTAGTTGTACTGGGAACCAAATCCGCATGCCCTGCAAGAACAGCAAGTGCTCCTGACCACTAAGCCATCCCTCCTCCCTGCTTTTTAACTCTTAAAAGTAGAAAGCGTATGATAAACGAGACTAACTACCGGTGTATGTGATAGGAAGCAAACTCAGGCAGCTGAGAGATCTGTGAGCCAAATCCCAGAAGTCAGGGCCTAAAATTGCATTCATTCCCTCAACAGCAAATCACAAAAGCATCCTGGAAAGGGGCATGATAGGGACTCAGAGCTGTAGGCAATTAGGACTCAGTAAACACTTCAGATGGGTTCGGCTCTCTACCCAGTTCCGGGCCCACCTTCCCAAGCAGCTGGCGTGAAGGCTTTTGAAGAAAAATAAACAGAAGTCCATGCTCCCATAGCAATTCAGTTTACACAGTGGATCCTATTTGATTTGCGGAGGAACAGCCTGTGTTTGGTTCTGTTTGCTTTGTTTTGTGTCAGAGCTTCTGATTGGCAAAGCCGGGGAAACGTACTGAGTCATGACTCCTGTCTCCGGAGGATTTTGACAAGCGCGTGCTTGGCAGAGGGCAGGAGGAAGGCAGTCCCTACAAGCAGGGGACAATAGAAGGTTTCTTACTCTCTAAGTGAACTCTGCAGTGCAAACATTACCCACCCGTGCCCAGGGACACACTCTGCCTCCCACGAGAGATGCTGTGCTCTTGAGAATACAGGCAGAATAAAAACAGTGGGCATTAATGGGCATCTGTGGCTTTCCAGTAACCTCCGAGTGTCATCTTACTTAATTCTCAGGATAGACCAATGGTGTCATTTGTAAGAGCAAAACAGCATCTTGAGAAGCCAATAATATACTCATGGTCCCCCAGACTCAGGGACTGAACTAGACAGAGCATGGGCCATCTGGTCATGGATGATGAGGATGTGACATCCTCAAATGTTACTTACCTTGTATTCACAGACCTCTGATCACTTTGATTAACTGTGGATCACTTCTTCCCCAAAGAGGGGTCTCATAGCTGGCATCCTTCAGACACAACTGACTACACAACCGAGATGGTAATTAAGGGAGAGAAAAATGCGCTGCCAGTGTTAACTGCCTCCTGCACTCGGACTAAAACGGAGGCATTCTCTTCTTCATTCTTGGAGCCTCCAATGTAAGAATAATCCCGTGCTGGTTGGGGATAGCAACACTACTGAGACTCTGAGGCCACGGACCTTCTTTATCAATGCCTCTCTCTCCCTCCCTGTTAGGAATAAAGCATGGGGAACCTTGGTGGATTCCATGGCAGACGAGGATGACAAACAAGCCAGGCAGACAGAGCTTAAGTGAGTTTTGTTAGAAAGGAGAGGGAAGGAAAGAGAAAACAAAGAGACACAGAGACAGAGAGAAGGAGGAGACATGAAAAGGCCTGTCTGTCCCAGGGGACAGAGGGAAAGAGAGCATAAGTGGACGGGGGTCTTTCTTTAAAGGGGTCCTTTGCACCTGTGAGCAGACTAGTAGCCATAGAAGCCTGGGCTAACCAGGGTACTGCCTGAGCGCTTTCTGCCAAGTGATGGGGCAGGCCAAAATAATGCCTGAGTCTTTACACTCCCTCCCTCACATGCACACAGGGAAACACACACTCAGAGTCATAACCTACCAATGCTGATTCTTAAGGGATTGTTCCTCACCGGGACTTTAAACACTGGTGGCAGAACCTTCCCTCTAATTCTCCAGAGAATTAGGCCAGCACCTGGCTCCTCAGAGAACAGACAGGTGAGGACTGTTAAACACTAGTAGGCAGGGGCATTGCAGACAAATTTCCCCAAGTCCACACTCAGCCCACAGCATTGCCAATGTCTGGAAATATCTATTCACAGAAGACTCACTTCGGGTCAGAAAAAATTCACGAAGTTCATTTTAAATGCTTGTTCTTAGAAAATGGGCAGCCCTGGCATTACTATTTATATAACTTCTTGGCAGAAACACTTGGTTTGACAGAAACGCCCCAGCTGGGCACTGTTTCCCACCCACCTTAGGAATCAAAGGGAGAGCTTTAGTCTCCACAAAGTGAGACCTTCTCATTCTGTTCTTGGAAATGACTTTTTTCTGTGCTTTTATGTTACAGTGATCACATCAGGAGAGTTCCATTTTGGATTATAAGAGGGAGAGCCGTAGTTACCACATCACAGGGTTGTTGTGAGAGACAAATGGTATAAGCTTGGAACGCATTGAGGAAATGCCGAAGCTGCACATGGCGGCAGCTGCGTGCTTATCATCGCAGCTGTGGGAGACACTGGGACAAGACTGCGTTGGCGCCTTGGAGCCCAGAGCAGCCTGAGCAATATAGGGAGACCCTGACTCAAAAGGAAAGCTCTGTATGACTGATGAGATCATGAATAAGACTCTCTTTTTTGCAAGGCCAGGATCCTGCAGTTCTGACACACTAGCTCTTCCAACCCAGGAGTCAAAGCAGTTCAGTGCATTGGCTTTTGAGTCACTCTGTTCCAGTCTAGAGCTAAACCATATCCAGTAATGTTTATACTTTCATTCCCGTGAAGTGTCACTGTATTGAGGAAGGTAAACAACGCGCCAAGGAAAGACAAACCCAAATATTTCATCATAACTTGAAATTCATTCCCCAGACAGACACTAGTACATACACAGGCAGCCTTGATGGGAGGGACACATCAGGGCAGTTGTCAATACTGATGGATGCAGAAGTTATCAGTGAAGTCAAACCTTTCAGGTCATTGGATATCTTGAACACAATATTGACCAAAACATGACCTTGAATATGAACTCATTTAAGGTTTATTTATTTATAGCTTTAAAAAATCATAGCTATAAATTTTAAAGATTTCTTTTTCATTTTCATGTGTGTGTGTGTGTGTGTGTGTGTGCGCGCGCGCGCGCGTCACTAGTACACAGGTATCTGTGGGAGACAAGAAAAGGTGTCGGATCCCCTAGAGCTAGAGTTATGGCTTATTTACTAACTTTGATAGACTGAAGAATGAGGTACAGAGAATTTTCCACAAGTCTCATGTGTGTTGAATCCCATTATTGCATGACTGAACAGGACTGACTTTGCTATGAAATCTTTCTACTTGATTGATGACACGGGACAAAGCTGCTTACTGACCTCAGGGGGGCGCTCTGGGGGCTATAGTAATAAAGTGCTTCAGGAGCCTGCAAAGAAAGGCAAGGTAGCTGTGCAAAATAATCTCTCAGATTCTTTAAAAAATGAAGACAATGTTGGCACAGCAGGAAGCAGGCCCTGACTTAAAAAAACCCTGGCTGTTTGTCTCAAAATACCTGACTTGATGGCTTCTCATTTTTACTCCTTTTATTCAAGAAAAGAAAATGTTTGTTTATTGCCAATCTGTTCTGTTTATTCTTTCCCCTTGTGGTGCTGGTGATCAACAAACTCAGGGCTTCCCACCTGCTATACCCTCACTGCTCCCCAAGCTTCAGCACAGCCTCACTGTTGCCAGTCTACAGCTGACCTTGGGCCCTGTCACCAGAATCCCTGCAGAGTTTGTTAAAATACAGATGCTTGGGCCCACATGCAGAACTCAAATTAAAAGCATAGCACCAGGCACTTAAGTTTCTGAAGGGTCTATAGGGGATCCTGAAGCATGGCAAAGTTGCAAACCATTCCTATAGAGGAAACCCATCTGTTGAATGAACCCAAAGGTGAACCCATTTCTATTTATTAAACATTATTTTTGCCCTCCAATGTTCTTGGGATTAAATAAGGTTGGATGGGAGTAGCCATTTTACTTCACCCTGGCCTTTCCCACATCTAATGGACACAGAGAACATCATTTTTAAAAACCCTGTCCATGAATTAAAATGCAATAGTAGAAAAGCCCAAGAGAAACCACCATGGGCTTCATTTGGAAGACATGCAAGGCCTTGCAACCCATTCCCACAGTGTTCAAAGCAAATGGATGCTTCCCACTTGCCAGATGGAATGGTTCAAAGGTGTGTTTCCAAGCTGGAAACTGGCAAATCAGCAGCTCTTAGGAGACAGCATCAGAGTGGATGCTGACCAACACCAGGGTGCGAGGTCCTATAAGCCAGCCACACAGAAAGGCTGCTGGAGGAATTGAAAAAGTTCACACACTGTGGACATCAAATGCCCCCACAGTGTTCCAACGGGGACAATAAAATAGAAACCAGACAGTGATGGGCAGCTGCTATTTAAAATATCTTGTCTAAGGTCTTCAAAGCCTTAGTGACATTGTAGCCACCACTTTTGCCTTTCTGGAAATGAAATGGCTGAGCATCTTCTTGGACTTGCAGGTCCCACATAGAGGAGACAGCAATTGTTCCTTAGAGGTCTTCACAAACATTCTGTCAGGAGTGCATGGTTTAAGACAGGACCCCTGAGTACCTCTCGGTAGAACTCATGGGGAAAGCAGAGAGCCTAAACTTCTTCACCCAGAGAAAACTTGGTGAAGCAAGTCAATGGTTTTACATCTTGAACTCATGAATGACGGTGGAACAGAACAGTCCCACCTCTTGGGGGAGGGGAACACAAGGGTAGAGGTTATAATGACAGTACATAAAAACAGGGTATGTAAAAGTACATTCTCCCTCAGAGTCAGCCAAAAGTTTTACTATAAGATCTTGACTCTAGGGAACCTGCCTAACAATTTGATATATTATATATATATATATATATATATATATTTATGGTAAAAGTAGAAAATAGAGAAAATAATGCCTTTTAATATCCCTCTAAACATTAGAGGCAACTTTGTAGAAAAAGGTTGTTGGCGCTGGCTTAGGGAGTTTCTTGTTGCATGTGTTCCAACAGGGCAAGGAGGCAAGCAGCAGGATGAGACCCCCCAGCAGGACACAGAAGCCACTGGAATAAAAGGCGATGTCATAGGTCTGCGTCCAGTCATAGAACCAACCTGAGAAGACAGTGATGAAAACAAAGTGAGTTTCACATATTTTTAGTTTCTTCCAAATAAAGATGGGCATAAAGCCAGAAGAAGTGTATCAGCTTAATCTTAACTATATCGTGTGTGTGTGTGTGTGTGTGTGTGTGTGTGTGTGTGTGTGTGTGTATGTATGTATGTATGTGTGTGTGTGTGTGTGTGGCTGAGTCAGGGTCTCATGTAGCCCAGGCTAGTCCCAATTTCACTATTTATCAAAGATGAGCTTGAACTTAACACTTTAGATCCTCCCAAGTGCCAGGCGTGAGCTACCACACCTGGTTTTAGACAAAGCTGGAAAATAAACCTAGGGCTTCCTGCATGCTAGACAAATACTCTTCCAACCAAACTACAGTCCAGCTCTAGCAAAATAATCTTGAATAAACTACTGTGAAATAATCCACTTTACTTTGTGCAAATCTATGCTATTATTGAGAATGTCCCTATCTGGGATGTCACAGTGAGGAACAAGAAACTGAGTCGACTTGAAGAAGGGTATCTTACCAACAATCGGTGGCCCAAGGCTATTCCCAAGTCCTGCGAAGAACATTAGGATTCCATAGGCGTGGGCTAATTTGTCAATCCCTACAGTCTTTGTGGTCACATATGGAAAGATGGACCAATTACCAGTAAGAAAACCCAGGATCCCAGAAAGTATTGCCAGGGTGACGTAACTCTTGGCAAGGGGGATTGCACATAAGGCCAGGCCGGTGATGATCAGGGTAGCTACATAGAGATACAAGGTGTTGACCCACTTGAAGTCAGCCATGATGCCTAAAAGAAGCTTGCCCACAGCTGTCATGATGCCCATAATAGAGATGAGTGGCATGGTGAGGTCCTCTTCCCTCACGTTGGAACTTCTTGCTACGTCCTCCATGAGTAGCGATGGTGGAAACCCTCCGATGTCAAAAAGCAGGATGGCAATGAAAAGTGCTGAGAAAACTTTGTTTTTAAAAAGAGACACTGTCTCCCCGCAGTAGTTCCTATATAATTGCCATTTCCTCTTGGCGAGCTGCTTGCAAAAGTAAGTCTGCTCCACAACCTTCTTTTTGTACGGCTCAGGCTCCTTGGTGTGTGCTGCGGCTGTGGGGCTTTTAGGAGTCTCCCGTCCCCAGTCACCACTGGGCAATTTATCTTCGCTGCTGTAGCTCTTTTCCAAGATGTTCATATTTTCTTCCAGGCTCTTCTCTTTCTCGTTGTACATGGAGTATCTCTCCAGAACATTCTCCGGAGCTATTTTTTCAGGAAAAGGACAGTTGGGAGACTGCAAGGGCCTCATCAGACTGCCACAGGCTAGTATGTTTAAAGCCAAAGCACCCACAATAAGCAGGCACCCATCCAGGCCATAGAACTCTATCAGCAACCTCTGCAGAGCAGCGTAGATAAAAAGGCCCACACTCGAACCTGCAAGACAGCAAGAACCCCTCAGTCTCAGTATGATCGTTTCAATAGCCCTGGGAGGCGCATGGGTGGCATCATAGTTACCTTATAGCTTACACTGGTATTCACAGAACCTTTGTATTAAAGCCACTGAGAACACTGAGATAATAAGACAGCAGTACTGATAGAACAACCATCTTCAGAATCAACATCCAAAGACCCTATTTATACTTGGGATTTATTTATTTGCTTATCTATCTATCTATCTATCTATCTATCTATCTATCTATCTATCGTTGGTTTTTTTGAGACAGGGTTTCTCCGTAGCTTTGGAGCCTGTCCTGGAACTCAATCTATAGACCAGGCTGGTCTCAAACTCACAGAGATCCCCCCCCTGCCTCTGCCTCCAGGGTGCTGGGATTAAAGGCATATGCCACCACTGCCCGGCAGGATTTATTTTTTTTAAGGATTTTTAAATTTTAATTTTATATGTATGCGTATTTTTGTTGCATAGTCATATGTACACCACATATGCACTGTGCACAATGCCCAGTAGAGGGCATTGGATCCCCTGGAACTGGAGTTAGAGACAGTTGTTAGCCACCATGTGGGTACTGGGAGCCAAAGTCTAGTCCTCTACAAGAACAACCAATGCTCTTAACCCCTGAGCCAATTCTTCAGTCCTGCCAAGATTCATCTTATTTTTTTTTAATTATATGTATGTGACTCTGTGTGGAGTGGGTGCCCTCAAAGGCCAAAGGATGGCATCAGATCCCCTGCAGGTGGCTGTGAGCTGCCTGATAAGGGAACTCAGGTCCTCTGTGAGAGCCACACATGCTTCTACCTTCTAAGCCATCTCCCCAGCTTCCAGTTGTGTCCTGTGGATACAAGATCTTATTAGTTTGAATGGTCCTATTGAGTACATCCTACTATAACCCCAATCTACAGATATAGTGAATGAGTGCTAGAGAGCTTGAGAAATTTACCACAGATCTCAGAGTTGTAAACAACAGAATTCAGTCAGCCTGACTCCAGAAACCCATGGAATATAGTTATTTTAGAATTTTTTTAAATTGCAATTTTTGTTTGTGTAGCGTGTATTTTTATGTAACCATGCACTTTCCACAGCACACGCTTTGTGTGTGTGTGTGTGTGTGTGTGTGTGTGTGTGTGTGTATTATATGTGTTTGTGTATGTATAGGTTAGAGGGCATCTGTGGGTCCCAGGACATGAACACAGGTCATCTGGCTAGGCAGCATGCACCTTTATCCACTGAGTCATCTTGCAGGCCCTTATGTTCTTAACAAACACTACCTTTGACTATGTTTTGCATTTATTATGTACTGGGCTCCATGCTACGTTTTATTGTCTTTCTAAAAGCAAATCTTTACATTTCATTTTTAAGATGACTGCTATAGATTAGTTTTAGGATATTAATAATGGTCTGACCATTTAAATTCATTCCCGAATCACTAGAACGGGTGATTTGTATTCTTCCTGCATTAATGGAAGTATGAGAGAAAGCTGAAGTGGGATTTGATGGAGTGTTTCAATTACAGTATGCTGGCTTATACATCACACAAGGGACTAAACACCTCCTCTTCAGCATCTATCTCCCTAAACACACTGCAACGCTGTTTAATTTACGCTGTTCTTGTTGGGTTCTTATTTCAATGTTTTTTTTTTTAAGTTGAGTATTTAAAAATTTAAATGTCATAGCAGGAAAATGTAGACAGGCTAATTTTTTTTAAAATTTTGAGTTAGATGATCATAGCATCCATGCTCTAAAAACTCATCTCATCAAAAAATATTATAATCAGGAGCAAAGATACGATGCAGGGGTTAAGAGCACTGGCAGCTCTTGCAGAGGACCCAGGTTCAGTTCTCAGGGCCCACATGACAGCTCACAACCATCTATAACTCCAGTTCCTTGGGGAATCCAGTGCCTCCTACTGCTCCCCTCGGGCACTGTCTGAATATGATGCACAGACAAAACATCCATACACATCATATAAAAATAACAGACAAATTCAATCTCATCCCTGTTGGAAGAGATGTTGGGTCCCAGCCCCCATGGGGTCTCCACGAGTTGCTTGTCAGCCAATAACCACAGGCGCATCCTGTTTTCTAGTCCTGGATTACAGCCCCAGCAGTACCCCACTGGCATAAAAAACTCTAGCTCTTAACACCTGCGGTTTTTCCACTGTGCTGTAAGTCTGTATGTAAGGCTGCTCACTCACTGCAATAGAAAAAAGCACACGCATGCTCTTTGCGAAAGCGACCAGACTTCTGTTTTTAACTAAATCTCCAAGCTCAATACTTGGACATAGTCATGGCACATCCCTATCTTTGAGAAGTGGTGCATGCTTCAACAGTTAAAGAGCCTTCAGAAAACAAAGAATGGCCGGGCGTTGGTGCACTTGGAAGGCAGAGGCAGACGGATCTCTGTAAGAATGAAGCAGAATGAATAACTCCAAGACAGCTGTTCTGTGTCATCACCATGAACTGCTTGTTTGTGACTTTTACCTAACATGCTCCACAGATTCTCACAAGACAGCATACCAGTAGACACCAAACATGTTCATCTTAAAGGATTTGCATTTATTGTGTATGGATGTTTTGCTTGAATACACATCTGTGTACCACGTGTGTGCCTGGTGCCTGGAGAGGCCCGAGAGGGCATTGGATCCCCTGGATCCGAAGTCACAGACGGTTGTATTCTGCCACATGGATGCTAGGAACTGAACTCAGCCTCTCTGGAAGAGTGGCCATGCTCTTTAACCGCTAGGCCAGCTCTCCAGACCCTTAAATGCATTCTTGATATTTTAAAAGTTCTGTTTCTGTGGCAGAGAGATGGATCAGCAGAGAAAGACACCTGCCACCACACCTGAGGACCTGAGTTCAATGCCTGTGACTCACATGCTGACACAAGTGTACCAGAGTCAGCAAGTTTTCCCATGACCTCTGCATGAGCTATGGCAAGTGGGTGTTCATGCTCACAACCACATGCACACACACACACACACACACACACACACACACACACACAAATAAGGAAGCGAAATTTAAAGTCCTAAGTTCTGTTTTGATCTTGAGAAAGAGCAATATCAAAGTCCATCTGTCAATATCATGAAATAGCAAATCACTTCGGCCAACATCATTAATAGCTACGATACTCTGTGTGACAGGGCAGGCCAAACTTCGTACCTCAGCCTGTATCTCATGAGAACATGTCCATGACTTAGAAAGATGCAGCCGTTCTTCAGGGCAATAGGAAGCCATTTCAGAGCTTCCTGGTGGCTGTTGGAAAATGCACAGCTCTAATTTTTAATCGTCTACAAGAACATCTTAATTGAAAAACAGGCGGTGTAGAGAGCAAAGTGAGAAAAAACACCAATTATACTTTCATCTGAGTCTAGATTTTGCACTGCTACAGAGGGGACCTCAAGCAGCCAGAGACACACACATGTACGAATTAGCGCATCGATGCAATTGTTTCAAGCTTTCTTGTAACAGGTCAGAGGACAAACATTTAAGACACCATGAGCCATACAATAAACACCTGTCAGTCCCCAGTACTTAGCTATCCCTGGGAAACAGAAACACCAGACAGCAGAGGGACAGAGAGGCTGTCTATGGACATTCAGTTTCTCCAAATGTTCACACATTATGGAATGGTCTTTTCACTTTTAAATATAGGGTAAAATAGAAAAACCACGCTGGTGCAATGTACAAAAACAGAGAGCCAAGTAGATTGGAGCAGAGGCCAATTTTCTAATCCCTATTCACCACTGAGGAAGGTCACAGCCCACAACCTTCAGGTTTTTGTTGGGGCTTGTTTGAATCAGCTGCCCCCAATGGACCCAGAGCTGACCTTGAACTCACATTCCCCTGCCTCAGCCTCCTAAATGCTGGAATGGAAGATGTGCACCACCACATCAGGCTAAAACATTTGTAATGTGCTTATATTTCTACACTTTACCTCTTTCAACTAGGTAGTCACATTTCAAGCAATTGATTCACAGTTTCTTTTGGAAAAGCTACCATGACTCTGTTTAGCTGTGATTGCCTTAGATGAAGGGGGATTTATGCCTGGCTCTACTTTAAACTCACCTTGCTCCCTTAGGTTGATACTAAAAACCCTCCAAATCTCAACTGCCCATGGGTGTTGCAGTTTTGATTTGCTGTGTACAGTGCAGCCCCTCTGCCCTGTCCTCTAGACTGAGTGTAAAGAAAAAGCTGCACAACAGCAGGCAATTTTCAGAGTCTTCAGCACCAGTAAATTTGGGCAGGACAGGGCATTTTGGTCACAGCTACAATCACTAGCCATCCTACAGTCCATGTGTGCCTTTACAGTCCCAGAAACCCAGTGTCATGTCTGATATAACTGTTCCTATTTTACAGTGTAGAAAACGGAGGCACCGAGCAGAGAAGTATCTTGTCCAACATTAACCAGCAAGTGAGTGACAGAAATCTAGCTCCAGGAGGCTGGAGTGATGGCCATTAAGAACACTTTCTCTAGCAATGAGAGAGTGGACACAGCCCCCTTCCCTAACCCAAAAGCTATCGCCAACTGATAACCATTGAAATGAAAAACTAATGAAAAATTAGTTTTCTCTAGCAGATGGCCAATGCAAAACGAACTCCATGGTGTTTTTTGTTTTTATATTTGTTTGTCTCATAATGCTTTGTCTGGGCTCTTTTTCTTACCCTACAGGTCTCTTGCTTATATATTATGCTTTCTGATTTTGTGTTTTTAGGGAATTTCTGTGCACACCAATGTGTGTGTCTCTGCATCTATATGTGTGTCTTGTGCTTTTGTTTGGCTTTTTTTTCTGTTTGTTTGTTTTTTTCCTATTCAGGTTTATACTGTTTCTATTTTGTCTCATTTTATGATTTTTTTCTTGGGTGCCTGGTTGTTTTGTTTTTTTTTCTTTCTTCCTTTCTTTCTTTTTTGTTTTTGTTTTTGGGGGACAAGGTTTCTCTGTGTAGTTTTGGAGCCTGTCCTGGAACCAGGCTGGTCTCGAGCTCACAGAGATCTTCCTGCCTCTGCTTCCCAAGGGCTGGGATTAAGGGTATATGCCACCACCGCCAGGTTGTTTTCTAATGAGAGAGAACAGAAAATGATGTGGATTTGGGAGGGTGGGAAGGATCTAGGATGACCAGGGGGAGGGAGAACCATAATCAGAGTGTATTTATAAAAAAATCTATTTTCAACTTAAAATAAAACACTTCATGGTCTTGCAGAATACAGTTCCTCGTGTTGTGGTGACCCCCAACCACAAGATTATTTTCTTTGCTGCTTCATAACTGCAATTTTGCTACTGTTATGAATCATAATGAAAGTATCTGATATGCAGGATATCTGATATTCGACCCCTGTGAAAGGGGTTGAATATTTGACCCACAGGTTGAGAACCACTGCCCTAAGCAGACTGATAAAATATCGGTCATGGAAACTGATACTACCTTAACAGTTTTTTTTTTAATCCATCTAAAACATGAACTACCACCCCCAAATACCTGGAGGATGCCAGAAATTATATCTAAAGTGTATATATGTTTTTCTTTGTTTGTTTCTCTGAGACAGGCTCTCACTACACATAGCCCAGGCTAGCTTCATGGTCACAAGCCTTCTGTCCCAGATTTTTGTGAAATAAAAGACATGGGCTACCACACCTTGTTTAATTTATATTTTTATGTGTTATTTTATGACTTCAGTGATCATCTGTTAGTTATTAAAGGGACAATAAGAGAGTGTGTTGCTGGGATGTATAGCTAAGTCAGTGAGTCATGTTCAGAGAGCAGGTCCTTAGACAGTTGTATGTTCTATACTCTGTGCAAGGCTGACCTCAGACTCTGATAGTGGCTGCAGCTATTGTTTCCATTTGGTTTTTCCTTCTTCCCAGAGCAGGTGGTTTTAGGATTCTATGCTTTTCATCCACACAGATAGCTACGAACACCCTGGGCCTAGAAGCTTCCTCAGTAGCCATCACACCCAGGTCTAATACTCAGGTCTGCTATTTATGGATCTTGGAGGTTTGTTTGTTTGGGTTTTGTGGTTGTTGTTTGATTTGTTGTTTTTTTGAGGCAGGGTTTCTCTGTGTATCCCTGGCTATCCTAGAACTTGCTCTGTAGACCAAGCTGGCCTCTAACATCCAAGTGCTGGGATTAAAGGTGTGTGCTACCACTGCCTGGCTTGGATCTTGGGGCTTTTTTGAGAGCTTTTCCCATATTTATGGTAGAAAACAAACTTTCCTTCCAGAAGTGTGGTAAAAAACCATTTTGCTTTCTGATTGGCAGCTGGGTAGAGGCTGGCAGCACACATGTGTTTCACACCTCTTTGCTCAGTTTAGAACGTTAACTTGTGACAATACTGTACTTAATTTTGAAATGGTACCTGTTGAAATCAGGCCAAGTGCGAGGCCTCGGCGGCTGTCAAAATACTGGCATGTAATGGTCACTGTCGCGGTGTATAACAAGCCACATCCGAGACCTGCACATAAGAAGAGAGCAGGAATTCAGACAGGTGCACAATTTCAACCCAAAAGAAGAAAATAAAGGGTCCACATTAGGATGCTGTGGAACCAGCTGCCTAAACATCGGAGTCCCCTGACAGCTCTGGCAGTACTGGTGGCTCAATGGACTTTGAGAAGCATCATTTTTCGCCCACCTTAATATCAGAGTCGAGTAAAAAAAATTAGTTCAATTTCTAAAGTATAAAAGAATAATTCAAAAAAGAAAAAACATTCTGGGCAATGGTAGCACATGCCTTTAATCCCAGTACTCTGGAGGCAGAGTCAGTCTGACCTCTGTGAGTTCGAGGCCAGCCTGGTCTACAGGTCAAGTTCCAGGACAGCCAAGGATACACAGAGAAACCCTGTCTTGAAAAACAAAGGGAGGAAAAAAAAAGATTAATTGCAGTGTAACTGGAGACACAAGAAGGAGTCTGAGGAAATGGTTAAGCCATACACTATATACCAAAACTTAATCACGCCTGACCTCAGGCCTGTGTCTCTGCTAGATATGTGCGTGTTTTTTTCCTTCTTTCTTTATATATATATATATATATATATATATATATATATATATATATAATTCTATTTATGTGTATTGTGTCAGTTTGTACACACATGCATGGGGGGAGGATGCCCGTGGAGGCCAGGAGGAATCATTGGATCCCTGTGGAGCTGCAGTTACAGGTGGTTAAGAGTTACCCAATGTGGGTGCCAGAAATTGAACCCACATCCTCTGGAGAAGTAGACAGTGACCCTAACCACTGAGCCTCTCTCCAGCTCTTCCTTCTCACACCAAGCTATTCTGCTTGACTTTATCTTCCACACCTCAATCAGCAAAATAAAGGGTCTGAAGAGATTGCTTCAATTCTCAATCATCATCCCAGCATCCTGAAGCTTGTATCTGTAAGTCCCCATCATTAGAGCTGCTTTGTATCCTATTTAACAGTAAACTACAGTGACTATTTACTTAGAGTGACTATTTACTTTCAGCTAAAGAAACTTCGTAGAGAAAATCAAAAAGGACACAAATACAGTAAGATACCCACAAGTATGAAAAGAATCAGGCACATGGTTCCTTGCAATGGTATTCTCTATTTTCGTGTAGAGTGGAAAATTTCCACAAATAAAAGCAATCTTGCAGCTACCTGTGTCTTCTTGAGTCCCAAGGGTAAGAATTGTCTCTTGGTCTCGTCTAGCTTGCTGGTTTTATCTTTTAGTCCTATGAATACTGGTAAGATCTGGTACCATCTGCTTGTTTTCTGTTAGCTTCTCATTTGGCTTCTCTGCCTTTATTTTTTACTGCTTTCCTCGATGTTATCTGGTCATGATGACTACTCTAAAAATAACGCATAAGCCACTAACTGAAAAGGAACCACTGGCTCATTAAGTGGACTAAGGTCATTGTCATTACTTAGACAGATACCTAGATTCTCAGTAAACAGATGCTATGGTTTCAGCAAACATACAAGTAAGCATTTTGGGAACTCAGTGCTCAGTCACACATTGTAAGGCCCAGGCTAGCCTCAAACTTCCATTCCTCCTGTGTGACTCCCCCCCCCAGTACTGACACAGCTGATTTGCAACACCACAGCCACTAAGACGGTGACAATAACAAAATGACTTTGGGTGTTTTATAACAAAATACAACCAATATTTTTCAGACAAGCAATTTATGGTGTTGTATAATCGGGTTTGAATATAGCTCTTCTCCAAGCACAGAATAAACAAATGGATCCCGTATCCAAAGGATGGAAGGATGCCAATGCGCATTAGATTCCACATCACAGTCCATCATGGGGAAACCATCTCTACCAAGTTCTGCTACTGTATCAAAAAGAAATATATATGTAGTTACTTGAAAAAATAACACAAACAAATAAATAAATAAATAAAAACCCTTCCCTGGGGCTGCAGAGATGGCTCAGCTGTTCAGAGAGCACACTGCTCTTGCAGAGGACCTGAGTCCAGTTCCCAGCGCCCACATCAGGTGGCCTACAACTGCCCAACTCAGGCTGCAGCGGATCTGACTCCCTCTGCTGGCCACTGTGAGCACCTGCATTCATGAGTGGGCAGCCACATATACATGCAATTAAAAAATTATATGTATATATATACACATATACATATATTATATATGTATATATGTATATGTATATATAATATACATAATATATATATATATATATATATATATATATATAATTTGGTTTTTCAAGACAGGGTTTCTCTGTGTAGCTTTGTAGACCAGGCTGGCCTTGAACTCACAGAGATCACCTGCCTCTGCTTCCCGAGTGCTGGGATTTAAGGCATGGGCCACCACCGCCCAGCTAAATAAAATGAATCTTAAAGGAGAACTCTTTCCTTTTCCAAATACATTTTTGGTGTGTGTCAGCCTACACTTTCCTCAGATGCTTCCATCAAAAACACTCACTGCAGCAGTTGGGTAAAGACAGACACAGAGAGCATGTGTCGTCTAGGAAGTGGGACTGGGATGGTGAACCCTGACTCAACTCGATTGGATTAAGAAATACAGAGTGGCCGGGCACGCCTTTAATCCCAGCACTCGGGAGGCAGAGGCAGGCGGATCTCTGTGAGTTGGAGACCAGCCTGGTCTATAAGAGGATGTCCAGGATGTCCAGCCTCCAAAGCCACAGAGAAACCCTGTCTCAAAAAACAAAAACAAACAAACAAACAAATAAACAAAAGAACAAGAACAGAATGGGGGCTGGAGAAATGGCTCAGATGTTAAGCGCACTGACTGCTCTTCCAGAGGTCCTAATTCAATTAGTTCAATTAGTTCAATTAGTTCAATTCCCAGCAACCACATGGTGGATCACAACCATCTGCACTGAAATCTGGTGCCCTCTTCTGGCCTGCAGGCATACATGCAGGCAGAATACTGTATACATAATAAATAATAAATCTTAAAAAAGAAGAAGTACAGAATGGTTGCCAGGCATGGTGGTGATGCACACCTTTAATCCCAGCATTTGGGAGGCAGAGGCCAGCGTACAGAGTGAGTTCCACGACAGCTAGGACTGTTACACAGAGAAACCCTGTCTCAAAAAACCAAAAACCAAAACGACCTAAGGGAATAGTGTGAGCCCTTTCCTGAGTGAGCTAACTAAGGGGGGTGGGGGACCCAGCCTGAATGTGAATGGCACATCGGTAGCTGGGGCTCAGAAGAACAAAGGGGGGGGAGTCATTAACACAAGGATTCACTCTCTCCACCATGATGGCCTGATACCTCTATAAATTCAAGCCAAAGGGAATCCTTTCGCATTTGTGATATCTGCTCAGACATTTATCACAACTGTGATAAAACTAAAGTGATTTGTGAACATAAAGACATGACCACTCTTCCCATGGCTAGGGGTAGCTTCATGGTAGAGTACCTCTCTAGCACACAAGCAAGGTGCTGGGTTTAACCCCAGCACCCAAAACCCCTCTGACAACACAAGCATGCCAGTCACTAAATTTGTTTTGTCTCAGAAAATATAATTACTTTTCACGATAAATCTGTTACTGCTGTCAACATGCAGTGAGTCTGTGACCTTTAAGTGGATTGATAAACAAGCGCCTTGTCTCTTAAGGGGCTAGAGAGAGTTCAATGGTTAAGAATATTCAATGCTCTCACAGAGTACCTGGATATACCATACCAGGCAGCTCACAAATACTTACAACTCTTATTCCAGGAGATCTGACACCCTCTGGCCTCTTACAGCACCCACACACGTATAATATGTATGCATTCACGCAGACACACACACATACACATAAGTGGTGGTGCGTGTCTTTAATCCCAGCACTCTCTTGTGACTGTAAGGACAATCTGGTTTGCATAGTGAGTTCTAGGACCGCCTGGGCTATATAGAGAGGCCCTGTCTGAAAACAAACAAACAAACAAACAAGAACAAGAAAAAACATAAATAAACATTTAAAAATAAAATTATCTTTAAATTATTCATTCATTTATTATTTTAAAGATTTATTGTATTTTTAGTTATGTGTATTGTACGTGTCTGCGTGTTGCAATATGCTGAGTATGCTGGCATGCTAGGTCTGCATAACTGGTTGATCCCTGTTGCCTGTGGAGGCCTGAAGAGGGGATCCAACCCATCACAGGTGGAGTTACAGACAGTTGTGAGCTGCCCACTCTGAGTGCTGGGAACTGAATGTGGGTTCTTTGCAAGAATAGTATGTACTATTAAGTGCTGGGACACCTCCCCAGCCCCAAATTTATTATATTTTGTACATAATATATTAGGATGCAATTCAGTAAATAAATGTCTACTCCATACCATCTGAAGTTCCTCAGAGTCCTAAGGAAGAAAATAAAAAGTCCCATGATGTTAAAGTTTCCAAATGATTGTCTTAAAACACTCTCTGGTGGCCAGTCAGCTTTGATCAGATTCTAGCAGTGAAAAAACTTCCGAGGAGCATTAATAATAGTTTTAACATCAAATAACCATAGTTAGGCAAATTCAGCCAAGGTCAGTATTATCATGTTTTCTCTCATTTGTGGCTTCTAGAGTTTAGTGAAACTGTCTAGGAAACTAATGGGAGGAGAGGGGAAGGGGAGAGGGGAGGGAGAGGGGGTTAAAGGGAAGGTATAATGTACGATATATACCTGTCCTTATGTAACACAGTACCATGGGCAATGAAGAGGCACAACTCATTTTTAAAGTCCACACTGCTGAGTATTTAAGGCATAAACACAAGTGACGTGTCACTGTTCCCTTTGCTTAATCAGGTGAACAGGAAATGCAATTCAGTGGCCTAATGATTCTTTTTATCTAGTATGTGCTTGTTCACCTACATCTGGATGAGACAGCAACTCTAGAATCTTGCTTGTGTGTGTGTGTGTGTGAGTGTGAGACCCCACTCTGTGAAAATAGACTCAGAATGCAATCATTGTTATCAAGCCATAAAACAAAAATAAACAAATAATACAGCCAGGAGCCCATGAAGGACAGGATCTGAGGCATACGTCCCTAATAGTGAGAGCTGTCAAAAGCCATTCACAAATGACTCTGCAAAGCGAGACCTGCATAGAGGCCATTGCAACCACACTCAAATAGCACTTCCAACAAGGACCAAGGCCACCTTAGAACAAATGCATGTAGCCAAGGATTTTTGCTTGAAAACAGCTTATATAATTCCCTTTATCTCACCTTCACAGACTTCCTTAAACACACCCAACATTTCCTAAGGTGTGTGTGTGTGTGTCCCCATTGCTACACTCTTCAATCGTTCAATAAACACAGATGATCTTTGAAGAATCTCCCGTGGTTATCCAGCAGGACATATAACTCTGTAGTGATGTATTATTTTTGATTTATTAAAGCTTGACTGAGGATTCAGAAAAGCAAAGTCCGCCTCAAGGTATAGAGATCAGGTGGTGGTGGTACACACCTTTAATTCCAGGACTCAGGAGAAAGGCAGATGGATCTCTGAGTTCAAGGCCACCCTGGGTTAACGGAGAGTGAATCAAAGCTCATGCCTTTAATCCCAGCACTAGATGGGTATAAAAGATAGAAGCAGGATCTTCAGTATTCAGTATGGGGCATTCATTCTCCAGCCACACTGAGGAGAGGTTACAGTCTGAGGCTTGGTGAGAGCTCATGGAGACAGGATCAGCCCATTCAGCCTGAGGTAGAGGTAAGAAGCTAGTGGCTAGTTGCTTTGCTTTTCTGATATTCAGCTTGAAATTTGAACCGCAAACATTAGTCTCTGGGTGATGTATTTATCCAAGTTACATAACTCAGCCAGACACTAAGCTCTTTATCACACCCACTGCTCCAAGGGTCCACCTCCAACTGCCAGTTCATCTCCTCAGAATTTCTCATCTGAACCTTTACCTCCTCCTAGCTCTGTGAACCTTCAACACAATCCTGCCTGTCTAAGCGGCTGTGTAATGGTGTGTATCACTTCATGTTTCTGCAATAAAAATGACAGAAGAGGCAGCATTTCCCCATCAGGATTCTATCAAATGCTCTGGCAGTTTCCCAGGTGACATACCCTTCCAAAAAAAAAAAAAAAAAAAAAAAAAAAAAAAGGAAAAGCTGCTGGGGGCTGGAGCACTTGCTGATCTTCCAGGGAACCTGAGTTTGGTTCCCAGTACCCATGCCAGGTATCTCACAACCACCTGGAACTCCTGCTGCCGGGGATATGATGCCCCCTCTGGCCTCAGCAGGCACCACACACACACACACACACACACACACACACACACGAGAGAGAGAGAATCTCTTTAAAAGGTTGCTGTACGTTATCCACTGTATCCCATTCTGGGTGTTTGGCTCTCTGGTAGTGGTGTCTACCACTACCTTGGCTTCCCTTCCAATCCATCCACTTGCCACACCCTACCTGTCCCTACAGACTCTGTCACACTGCCATTCCTAAAGCCTTTCTCTGCACACACACACATTACACCAGCTCCAGGCACTGGCTTCTCTTTGTCACTGCCCTTGCTTCTGCTGTGTGGCAAGTTACCCTTGGATAAGTCTGTCCTTCTACCTAGATGACCAGCACCATGACTCACAAATTCTCCCTTCTGACCTTTAACGCAATTACACGGGATTAAGAGACATTGAAGACATAAACGTCTATCATCTATGTGTAGAATGTAGTACTAAAACGGCCATTGTCTTGGTATTAGCTTGCACTTTTCACTCAAGTCTATGGCATATACATTACAGATACAGCCTCAGACAATACTAAAAATCATAGTTAACGTAGCCAGACATGGAGGTGCACATATGCAATCCCCAAACTAGGGAAACTGAGCCAGGAAGATCTAGAGCCATAGAAGGATATCCTGCTTCAAAACAAAAGACACCCAAAATCATAGTTGCTCAACACAATTGTACACGATAAGAATCAGTTCCACCTTAGGCTGGTCTTGGTGGCATACACCTTTAATCCCAGCACCCAGGAGGCAGATCACAAAAAAGAGAAGAAAAATAGCTATCATTGATGATAAAACCATCTAAGTGAGGACTGGGGAGAAGTTTATGATACTATTTTTGCTAAGGTGAATATATAAGAAATGGCCACTATCTTATTAGCATACTTAAAGTAATAGAACCAGATATGGACTCCCATGACCACAGTCTAGTGGTTTTTAACATTGAACACCTTTAAATACAATACATTACAAAGGAATTTCATGAACTATTAAGTGGTCCAGGTTCTTTGTTACTCATCTGTTACTAAGTCATCATTAAGCATTCCCTCTATGCCATCTTCTTCACTCTCACGCCTTGTCTTTAAAATCAACTTTGTACATCTACCAGAACTTCTGGATGGGGTGTTGGCAATAAGCTGGAACTCTGCTCACTGTTGCCAAAGTGAGCAAACAGAGAGAAATGACCAACATCAGGATCATCTAGGTTTACATTTTCCTATCTCACACCTCCTTGCTGAAATATAGAGATAAAACCTTGAAATTTCTTCCTGTTCCCCGAAGTGGGGCACAGGGGGATTGTCAAGGTGTTCTTATCCCTGGACTAACTAGAGAGATGGCTCAGCAGTAAAAACTGTGTGTCTCACTGGCTGTTCTTCCACAAGACCTGGGTTCATTTCCCAGCACCCACAGGGGGACTCATAACTGGAACTCCAGTTCCAAGTGGTCCTTTGCTCTCTTGTGACTTCCATGGGTACCAGGTATATGCATGGCACACAGACATCCACGCAGGCAAAACACTCATCATACATATAAAATCATAAAAGAACAACAACAACAACAAAATTTAATGTGGTTATCTCTTCCAGACTTTGATCCAATGGGCAGACATTTCCTAAAGCAACAACTCTTGGAAAGTAAGGTATTGCTGAACATTTTCACTCCTCAGACTAACTTAATAATAATAAGAAAAAGAAAAAGACAACGGTGAAATGATGTGGACATGGAGTTAGAAGACTCATGGGGACTGGTTCCTTACCTACAATGATGCCATAGGAAAAAAAAAGAAAGTAGATATTGGGGGCGAGACTACTCAGCATCAGGCCGCCAGCCACCAGGAAGCCGCTGAAGATTGTGACGGTTCTCGCTCCAAAAGATGACACACAGAGACTGCAGACAGGACCTAAAAGAAATTGAGACCTTCACTTATATAGCAGTGACCCCTTCCTTATGACCACATGACCCACCCATTGTCAGTTCAAAACAGTTCTATCCATTACAATGCAACACAGAAAGACAACATCTACAGTTCTGGGCACTCTAGACACCGCTGTACACTAGACATTACTTGAGGTGCTCTATCTGATAGTCACACTCCACTTTAGCCTTATTGCAGCCCTGCCAAGTAGATACTGTTGCTATTCCTTTTTTTTTTTTTTTAAATAAAAGGATGGTGAATTCACTGTAGAGAAAGGCAATTATCTATTGGAGTCAGACTTGACCCAGGGTTTGGCTTTCCCTCTTGTCAAGTTGTTGAATCTCAGGCAACTTATTTGTACTCCCTGAGGCTCATCTGACAATTGGGATTAACAGTTGGCACCTCTCAGTGTTTCATGCACAGATGACAAATGGGCAGAAAAGATCCATGCCTGAAATTGTTCAGTGTAAGAAGCACTGTGTGAAATAGGTCTTGAGACAGATTGTGTCTCACTGGTGCCATGCCAGGGCAAATGCTTAGAATCATAGCACAGAAGCTGGGCATTGGTGGTGCACGCCTTTAATCCCAGCACTCGGGAGGCAGAGGCAGGTGGATCTCTGTGAGTTCGAGGCCAGCCTGGCTTACAGAGAGAGTTCCAGGACATTATCCAAAAGCAATATCCAAACCCTGTCTCGAAACAAACAAACAAACAAACAAAAAAACAAAACAAAATGATAGCACCGAGCAGGTTGGAAATAAAGGTGTTGGGTTCTGGGCCCAATAAGCTCATTTCACGTGAAAGGAGAGAGAAATTCCAGGAAGGTGCCATTTCTAGTCCACAGCAGAACAAAGAACCTCGAAGCTTGCAGTTACAGCATGAAGGGAAGTCTGGGCAGGAACTCAAGGCAGGCACCTGAAGGCAGCAACTGAAGCAGAGGCTATGAATTAATCATTAAGAAAATGCTCATGGCCTTGCTTACAGGCCAATCTGATGCATGCATTTTCTCAGAGTTCCCTCTTCCCAGATGCCCCTAGCTCATATCAAGCTGAAAAACAAACAAACAAACAAACAAACAAACAGAACTAGCAAGCATAACCAGTGCCCTTGGTTGGTTCACTTTGTGTTCTCCAAATGGGACTTTAAATCTATACTCTTTAATTTATGGGAGCGAAACAGGTCGTGGCATGCAAAGGTGTTAAAGATGGGAAATGATTGTCACAGAAAGTACTCAAACCCACAAAGTGTAACCAGACTCTGTCAAATCACCCCTGAAGAACGGACACACTCATGGGTGCAAGTCTCTGTCTTAACAAACAAGGTCTCTAATATAATTACCAAGCATTGTTCCTTAGCACCAGGCAAGTCCCAGATTTCCATCAAATAAATCAAAGGACTGTTCTCAAGGGAGATTTCTTGTGTTGTTTTGAGTCTTCCACTTAGTAGAAAAGACCTTTGTAATGAAAGCGGTTTGCCCAAAATATGAACCATTGGAAATGGTTAAGATGAAAGGGGAGCTCTGCTGCTTGTTCAGTTTGAGACATGTCAAACAGAATAGCCAGCTGTCAGGGCTACTCCACTGAAGAACAGAGTCTCCTAACAAGGAAATAGTAGCAGTCGTGAGAATATCACTTCAAAATGCAAGGCAGTATGAAGACAATGAGAGGCAGAGCCCCAGAGAGAGCCTGTTCTGGCCACCTGTCCTCAATCAGCCAATTAAAAGAGCCAAATTAATAGTGAAAGGCAGAAAAGGGAGATTTATTAATGTGGCCACAGTGGGAAGAAAGAGAAAGAGATCCAGTGACCCTCCCAAACCCGTCGGGGACTGGGGTCCTGGCATGAGGAGGAAGGGTTAAACAGAGAGCCAGAGGGGCATAACTAAGTGGTCCAGCAGGCATGCTCTCTGCCTGCCACGGCCTCAGCTCCAAGTCTCTCTAAGGTCATCTCACAGGATGTCAATGTTTCTCCAGAGACAAATTCCTCCTCTGGATTCCCCAGGTTCAGCCCTGTGTGCTCTCAGTAGGAGGCTATGGAGGAAATTCTAATTTCTTAAGAGTCCATTGTTTCCAAAGCCCGACCGCCAAAGAAAGGGACAGGAGTGTCTCTTTAGAATATTTCCACTGAAAAAGGCAGGTTACAGGGCCTTTGGGGATTTCAGGGGAGGATTGTCACCCTGGGCCAAGGACCTGAGCCTTGAGTAGGCAGTGACGTATCATTGCAGTCACAAACAGGATGCAAAAGCATTCCAAACGGAGCAAACAGGTCATGATTATTGTTGGTGTTCTTTCGCTGCCACAGATACCCAAGAAACACAAAGGAAGGAAAGATGCCCAGGGTTTCAGAGGTTGTGTTATAATGACAAAAGAAACGGGAAGCTAATAACACATAGACGATTCCCTTCAGGAATGAGGCTTGCTTGCATGAGAGGGTCTCAAGGCCATTAATAAATGTGAGACTAAGATAAAACAATAAATCAGTGGTTCTCATCCTGTGGGTCTCCACCCCTTTGGGAGTTGAAGGACCCTTTCCAAGAGGTTATCTAAGACCACTAGAAAACACAGATATTTGCATTATGATTCATAGGAGTAGCAAAATTACAGTTATGAAGTAGTAATGAAATAATATTACGGTTGGGGGTCACCACAACATGAGGAACTGTACTGAAGGGTCACAGTGTTAGGAAGGTTGAAGCCGGCCAGTGTATCTCTTTGAGTTCAAGGCCAGCCTAGTCTACAAAGCAAGTTCCGAGACAGCCAAGGCTACACAGAGAAACCCTGTTTGGAAAAACCAAAATAACAAACAAACAAAAGATTAGGAATGAGGACACAGACACACACACACACACACACACACACACACACACACACACACACACACACGATAGGGGAGTTGGAGGATGAGCATTAACAGCCAAGAGAGGGAAGCCAGAGGTGCCTCTTCCGGGAACCAAGTCTTTGAACAAAAAAGAAATCTGACCTTTTATGGCCACTTATAGGTGGCAGGAAGTTTCACATCACATGATTTAGTTCAGAATCGATTATGTGATGAGGAGCACGGAGGAGCCAGATACTGGTTGAGACCATAAATCAGGGGCTGCTGCTAAGCCACCTCACAGTTAAAGGTACTTCGCAGCTCAGGTCTAATCCTCATATACCTTCCTGCCAGCACTCAACAACACTTTGAGCTGGTGGACCCGCCTGCACTGACTTATCTTCTACTGACTCATGCTGGCAACTGGGAGGCTGGAGAAATTATGAACCAAAACTGGGGGCAAAGGGGACTGCTGCTTCTACCTTGAGCCTCAAACTAGAAGACGAAAGAGTTCTTCCATTGTTTCAGCAAGGAGGTTGGCACCATTCTTCTCCTTGAACTTGGAGGATGAATGACATGTGGACCGGGGGTGCTTTAGCATATCTCAGAATGCTGCAAGGTCATGGCAGCCCTCTGCTTCATTGACCTTCCACTCCTGTGCTCATCTAGGCCAACCACAGAAATATAACCAACAGGAAACAGATATTAAGACATTTGTTGTGAGGGACCTGTGGGCTACGGGCCAGGCGATGCTTGACTAGGTGGGCAAGTCTAAGTAAGGCCAGTAGGGCAAACCACCAGGAGGGGCAAGCTGGGACTCTCAGGTACAAGCTGAAGCTGTAGGCCACAGGCAGAACTGCTTTTTCTGGGAAAGGTCCATTCTTTTCTGGAGTCCTCCCAGATTATCTGGGCTAACCTCTTACTCTGAAAGCCGATTGCATACTTACATCTTAAAAAACAAAAAACCTTCCCAGCAATGTCAGCTTTAGGACTTGAGTAACCAGAGAGAGAATGAATGAATGAATGAATGAATGAATGAATGAATGAATGAATGCAGCCAAACTGACACAGAGCACTAACCATCTCATCTCCCACCATAAGCCCTCTTCCTCAGTCAAATTTACCTCACCAGAATGTGTCATGAACAGTGCAGACCCCAGGTCTTAGCATCCAAGGATTCTGCAAAGCCTGCTGGCTCCCTACCTGGCTAACCATGACAATCCATCCTTCTGGCAGCCCACCTCAGACAATCTCAATAAAACTAGTCAAGAAAAAAAGGGGGACTGTGGTGGTGCATGTCTTCAATCCCAGTACTTGGGAGACAGAGGCAGGCAGATCTCTGTGAGTTTGAGGCAGCCTGGTTCACAGAGCAACTTCCAGGACAGCCAAGGCTACATAGAGAAGCCCTGTCTAGGAAAAACAAAAACAAAAACAAACCTAATAAATAGGAAATGAGAACTTCAGTTGGTAAAGTGTTTGCTGTGCATGAGACCTGAGCTCTTCTCCAGAACCTTCTAGGAAAGAAGGGTTTGGTGGTCTATACTGTAATCCCAGTGGTGGGAGAGCGGGACAGAAAGTTCCCCAAGGACTCACTGGCTGTCCAGCCTCCATGACTCTGAGAGCTGAAGTTGGGTAACGCCTAGGGAAGGACTTAAGGTTGATCTTAGCCTCCATGAGCACTCAGACGCAAATGCACCAACACATACACACACACACACACACAGAGAGAGAGAGAGCGAGAGAGAGAGAGAGAGAGAGAGAGAAAGAGAGAGAGAGAGGGCGGCCCTGACAATACACTGAAAATGTATCAGCAGGCAATCATCACTCACTCTACACATAACATCCATCCATAGCTGAACTCCTGAACAAGGCCCAGACACACCCACCTTAGCTACAAATGGACCCACGGAAGTACTGTTATACTCTGCTGACCTTCAGTACAAGGGTCTCCTCCCCAAGGACCCAGACTTTCATTCAAGACAGCCTAACTGCCCTCAGTGCCAATCAGAAGTTCTGACTCACAAGTCAGACAACTTCCAAGCCCTTTGCTATGAATAAGGTTGCATTCTGGGAAACTCTGAAGCACATTTTCAAGGCTTTTCAAGCTTGCTTGGATTACAATCTCAATTAGCCTCCAAATAAATGCAACTTTCTTGGCTCTTACCTAGGTTAATTTTATCTCCAGTCAAGAAATTCCAAAGATAGTCCCACTTTTGCTAGTCACCTTGGTATTTAAGAAGTTTCAACCCATTAGTTCCCTTTGTTCCTTCTGTCTGTTCCCTGAGACTACAAAGCCTACAGTATGCATGTATTTTGTAAATCTTCTTTACATTCCCAAGGGGATAGGCTGTGTCCTGTTCCACATAACTCTGAACTGTATAGTCACTTTGCCTTGGTCCAAATGACTCCATTTTATAAAGCAGAATGGGTTCTACATCTTGTTTGTGCAGGTCAACAAAAACCATCTACCCACGTATGAGCTAAGCCAATTGAATCAGGAACACATCCATAGGAAAGTAGATCAAGACCATATCAGATAAATCATACCAGTGAGCTTATGGGTCACATCCGATGTAATCCCCTTACTTGGATCATATAAAAGTAAAGGACACCAAATACTGGGGTCTGGGGGTACACGCTGACACATCATCAGACCAGCAGGAGCATGGGGTCAGAAGACCAACAGATAACTGACTCTAAGCTCTGTCCCCCTGTAGCCTCAACTTAGTGTGATCCCCCTGCTTGAGGCAGACCACTTGATTTTCCCAGAATGAAGGCATTGAGTAGGTGGATGCCAGTGTGGCTCTGCAGTGAGTATCACCTACGCACAAGCACACACACACACACACTTCTTTTTAACAAGTTCCTCCTTGAGCTCTCAGAGCTTCTCTTTTCTATGCTCAGCCTCAATAGCTCTGAGCTGTAAGTCCAATGGCCTCCTCATCTAGTGGCTGGTGTCGTCCCCTGAGAAGATGAATGGACTGCCCAAGCAGTGGCTAAGCCAGGACTTGAGTTAGACTCTTGCCTTCACCCCAAACCCCTATGAGTACTGCTTCTCTTCCTGATTTTGTTAGTGTTTCAAATTCCATATATTTTAGAATTTAATTTTTTTTTTGCTTGAAGAAAGTGAAAAGTTCATTTCTCTAAAAAGCCGGCAATTTGGAGCTGCCTCATTTAAAATATATTCACTTTTATGAAGGGACAACAGTCCCTTCCATTTAGAATATCAGAAGGCTATACAACAGCAGCTTGTTGACTTATACTTAGAGATTAATGAGCTAATTTGTTATTGGTGTTCTTGAGAACACCAGAGGAGGTTTTAGAGGTGTGTGAGAAAGTGATTTCACACTGACCAAGTGATGTCCAGATACACTTGCTATTTCCTGGATGCACTGTGAAATGGAATTCGTTCTGCAGAGAACATAGTTGGTAGCCAAAATTTGCCTGTACAAAATGAAGCTTGTAACGGTTTCTGTATATCTAAAAATGAGTTTGTGCTTGAGAAATACAAACATTTAAAAGAGAAATGAAAAGTTGGATCAGATAGCTAATCCCCAAATAGATAAGAGCTTAAGTTTTCCAAAGGACTGGCCTAGCATGCCTCTCTTCCTTCTCTCTATTGCTCTAGTAAAATGTGAGCTGTGACACAGATTATCAAATGCAACATTACAAACACAGCCAGAATTCTTGGCATGCCTAGGCGTCTTAAGAGACTTGGAAGGGTAGGCGCAACATCTCAGAAGCCTAGACCTGAAGGACTGGACCAATAATGTCTGGCGTGAGGCAGCTGGGCTCTTGGGTGGCTCAAGAGTGAGTAACAGTATCAAAGCAACCCCATGGCTCGAAAGGGGAAACATTAAGATGAATGACTTATTTTAGCTCTGGGTAACAAACTCTCCACACTGCTCTTTAGAATTCCACCTTCTCCCTGAATTCCCCTCACATCCATCTCTCTCTGTCTTCTGAGCCAGGCTGGCTTCTTAGACTAGACAGGGCCCAGATTCTAGGGCCATGATCTGCTGTCACTGTCTTGAAATTCTTAATAATCCTTAAGCAAGGATTCCATTTTTTTCATATTGCTCTGGGGTTTATAAATTATGTAGACAGTCCTATTCAAAATGAAGATGGCTGATCCTGGACCTTGAATATGGAGATGTTGACCTAGGGACATGGGGATGTTGACCTAGGGACATGGGGATGTTGACCTAGGGACATGGGGATGTTGACCTAGGGACATGGGGATGTTGACCTAGGGACATGGGGATGTTGACCTAGAGACATGGGGATGTTGACCTAGGGACATGGGGATGTTGACCTAGGGACATGGGGATGTTGACCTAGGGACATGGGGATGTTGGCCTAGGGTCGTGGTGGTAATGTGGAGTTACAGGTCAGATTCTAAGGGAGACCAACTTCAGCTCCTACACCGGTGTTGACATTCCATACCAGCTGCCATCAACTTCAGCTTTTACATCAATGCATACATTCCATACCCCAGATGCCATTAACTCTCTTCTGCCTCCTGAACCAACTCTGGAACAAGCCTTGTCTTCCTACCATGCGCTAAGGGGAATGCTGCTGGAATTACCCTCTGGCTCTTTTCTGGATGCCCCGATAATTACGGTTCTGTTTAATAATTTGCTAGTAGAGATGATGAAATATAAGAAAATGCTGTACAATCTCCTCTCGACACCAGCTTGTTTCCTAGAAAGCCATATGTTCAAATCTCTCTATGAATGTATCAGTTACTAGCCACTTGTGCTTTGACAATTTTACAAGCAGTCTTTTTTTTAAATTTTACAATTGCACATGTGTGTATGTGCCTGAGTATATGCATATGCACTATGTATGTGCAGGTGCCCATGGATCCCAGAGGACATTGGATCCCCTGAAGTAATGTTACAGGCAGTTGTGAGCCAGCTGATATGGATAGGAACAGCAGGTGCTCCTAACCACTGAGCCATCTCTCCAGCCTTGCAATCCTTATTTAAAAAAAAAAACAAAAACAAAAACAAAACAAACAAACAAACAAACAAAAACTCTTTCAAACAAATCCTGAGCAAATGTCCTGTTTCTCCTGATTCTGGAGCATCATGATTTTCTTCATTTGTTTAGTCATGCTTAGTTATCTTATCTGATAAGATCAGAGGAGCCTGCAGGTTTTTCCCCATGGCTATGTATCTTGTTTTGGATTTAACAACTGGATGTTATTGCTTTTTTTTTTCCACAGCAACCCCCTTAATAGCTAAGAGACAGACATATCTTTTTTTTTTTTTAAGATGACTAATGCAGGCTTGTTTTAAGCAGACTTTCATAGATCAATTTTAAAACTCAAAAACACCTTATGAATCACCACACCCAATCTCCCTAGTTTCTCCACAGTTTGGAGATTAAGTTCATAGTGCACAGGAAGACTCCAGGGGTACCCATCCCACTTATGCCTGTCTTATACACAGGAAGAGGCTCCAGGGGTACCCATCCCCACCTATGCCTGTCTCAGGCCATTTGGTGCTTAAATAGTGCCAGATAAGGTAGAGAGATAGTCATTAAAAATTACCGCAGAATTCAAACTGTGACTCCAGACACTGAAATTGTATATGATATTTATGGTCAAAGGGATAATTAAAAAAAAATCCTTTCCTGTTTGCCTTAAACACAGAAATCCCAATTATACTGCAAACTACTGTTTAAATAGATCTTCATATAACCCCTCTGAAAAGCCTAAAGAACATCACCACTTGAGATATGACTGTCCTTGCTGTGGGATACTTTTTGGAGGAGGTTGCTGTAGTTGATGGACATGTGAACTGAACCTAGTGCTGAACCCAAGATGAGTGAGAGCTTGGAAAACACAGAGATCAGTTGCATACTGTGACTATGCCTGCACACGGCATATATACATCCTCTGAATTATTACATCCATGGGAATATATGTGCTCCTTGATAGATGGTGAGCTCTGTGTGTGTGTGTGTGTGTGAGTGGGTGTGTGTGTGTGTGTGTGTGTGTGTGTGTGTGTGTAAGTCAGAAGAGAACACTATTGTTCTTGTTCTTGAATGTTAAGTCTCCCTTGTTTTTCTAGACAGTGTCTAATGGATCCGGAGCTTATCCAAGCTAAGCTAGCTGGCCAATGAGCCCCAGGGATCCACTTGTCTCTACCTCCCCAGCTCTGGGATTATAACCACGCCCTAAAACACCCAGCTCTCCTATAAAATACTGGGGATCTAACTGGTCCCCATACACTATATAACTGAGCTATCTCCCCAGCCCCTGTGCCCTGTGAGCCCCTTAGAGGCAGGAACCCTATGTTTGCAGCTCAACCTGTCATTTCTTAAGATTTTATTGTAAAAATTTCATTATGTATCTCTCTCTTTCCCTCTCTCCCTCTGTCTCTCTCTCTGCTCTCTCTCTGCTCTCTCTCTCTCTCTGCTCTCTCTCTCCCTCCCTCTCTCTCTCTCTCTCTCTCTCTCTCTCTCTCTCTCTCTCTCTCTCTCTGTGTGTGTGTGTATGTGTGTGTGTTCACATGTCTATGAGGCCAGAGGGGGTGTCTGATCCATTGGAGCAAGCGGTTGTGAGAAGCCTGCTGTGGGTGCTGTGGTCTATTGTGGATGCAGTGTACCTTCTCTAGCCACCCACCCCCCATCTTTTCATTTCCATCATCTAGCATGCTGCCTGTCACTTTCTCGAGGAAACTGATGATGAGATGAGTTGTAAGCGTGCAAAATTCCTGTACTTCACACGGATTCATTACATCGAAGGCACGGCACTAAACCTCAACAACGAGCAGGAAAACACCCATTAAGCATTAAATGTGTAGAAGCCATCCATGCCCCACGCAATGTTAATGACACAGCAAATGTAATTAAGTGATTAAAGAGTAAGAAAACACAGAAACTCATCCACTTACTTGCAAGTAAGCCGACTCCACTTGCCAGCGATCCCACCCAGGCTGTTTTTCCTTTTCCTTCACCAAAGGCATCCAACCATTCTATGTACAAGACCCCAACAGCTAATGGAGATCCATAACAGAGGAACTGAGTGAAGAAGGAGACGACCACAATCACCCAGCCCCACCCGCCATCAGGGGACTTCTGAAACTCCATTGTGAGATGAAATCAACGAGGTTTCTCTCTGTAGGTACAAAAATAAAAAAAAAAAAGAAAAAGAAAAGAAAAGAAAAGAGAAAAGAATATTTAGAATGTGATGGGCATAGGGTTTGGGATTAAAATACCTCTTCCTGGGATGGAGAGATAAGCCAGCAGTTAAGAGCAAACATTGGCTGTTTTTGCAGAAGACCCAAGTTTGGCTCCTGGAACCCATGTTGAGTGACTCACAACTAATGGTAACTTTGACCTCTTTAGTAGCTCTAATGCCATCATCTGGACTCTGCAGGCACTGCACTCATGTATCACACACACACACACACACACACACACACACACACACACACACACCACAAATAATAATTAAAAGTAAAATAAATCTTTAAAACAAAAAATTAAATGTCTTTTCCTAAATTAAAAAAGAAGAATATCTAAACATATACATGGATGATATCTATGTATTACAAAATATGACTGCCATATCAAGTTTACATTTCAATTCTAATTTGTATAAGTCGTGCACTTCTTTTAATTATAAGTGGGCATCTCCTGAGATGCCTTTCCCAATCTTGACCTCCTTCACCAGGTTTCCTTCTTTTCCCAATCATATGAAACCACTGATTTTAGCCTCCTTGCTTTTTATTCATGAGACTCTCCAGGAAGTAGAGGGTTAATAAGAAAAAGACTCAGTAGGAGTCTTGGGTCAGAACCTATGGAGTATAACAGAGCAGAGTGAGGGAGATGTTAAAGGATAAAGGCTTAAATCAAGCCCCGCTTGGAGGTGGGGACCCTAACTTGCTAAACCATCTCCCTGGAACCCATGTGGTTGAAGAAGAAAACAGACAGCTAACTTAAGTAGTGGTTTGCCCTCCAATACACCCTGTGCTATGAACATGCCCACTTCCCCACAGCAAATAAATACAATGGCATTTTTAAAAATGAAGAGGCTTGGGCACTTGGGAAGTGTTTTCAGTCCGGCCCTGGGGCTGGCCTTCATACCATCAATACTGCCCACTCCTAATGACTGTAGGAAGTTGTAGTGCACTTGAGTGAGGAATTTGTCCCCAAGGGCTGTCAGCTGAAAGCCTTTTGCCAACTATGATTCCAGCAGCTGGAACAAGGATGCTTTGGCTCCTGGAGTCTGGAGGAGACCTGATAACACATCCCAACCTTTGCCAACCCAGGGACTCTCCCAGGGCTACCTCATATCCAAGTGAGCCAAACCAAGCAAGCATCCTTATATTTTTTGTTTTTCTTGACAAAAATCATCATTTGGACATTTGTTTCATACGTTGAGTATTCTTTGAGGTTTCACATGATTCTAGTCTTTTTTTTTTTTTTTTTTTTTTTTTTTTTTTTTTTTTTAGTACACAGTAAACTCACTGTTTGGCTAACTGCTTACTTAGGCACTAATTTATGTGCTGATTAGGAGAAAAAATTGCAGTGGTTCAAAACTGAAAGAAAAAAAAGTCCTAGATGTTCTCTTTTATGACTGTGGTTTGTTTTTATTTTATTATTTTTTTCATTTGTGTCTCTGCCCACAGTACATGTGTAATATCAGAGGACGACATGTGGAAGTCAGTTCTTTCCTTCCGGTGTGTGTTCAGGGGTTGAACTCAGGTCATCAGGCTGGGCAACAAGCACCTTTCTCTGCTAAGCCATCTTGCTAGTCCCTAATTTATCTTTTGAGACATTGTCTTCCACTGGCCTGGAACTTATCACTTCAGCTATAGCTGGCTGGTGAGCCCCACAGATTCACCTGCCTCCCACACACATACCCCAGCACTGGTATTACAAGAATGTGCGACGAAGCCTGGCTTATTGTGTGGGTTCTGGGCTTCTCTGGCAAACATGAGTCCTGTTTAGAATCTTCTTTAAAAAAAAATACAGTTTAATTCTCCAAATTAGACGCTGTATGGCAAGGCAACCAGACATTTCATGGACGGACAAGCTATGTATAGATGATTGAGAGCGGACTTCATGGAAAATCCCAAATCATAACTCTCTGGGAAAGTGCAGGCTGACAGACAGAGGCAGACCAGGGAGAAAGCTGGATTTTTCTAAAAAGGTGAGGGTGAACACTATGTTCCCTCATAAACCTAAGAAATTCCTTTCTTCAGTGACAACCCTTGTTCCACCTTGCCATGGGCCATGCCTGGGGGCTATTGCAACACAGAGGGCAAGAATAGAGTAATTTCTCACAGGAAGTGTTTAGGACAGCAAATCTTTGAAAAGGAAGTGCCTATTAAGCTATCCCCTGGGACTCAATAGGCAAGTTTTCCTGGTGTTGATTGACAGCTGATCCCTGATCCCTCATCATCTCCCAAGTTTATTTACACAAGTGTCATTCCATCTGCCAATGTGACAGGGGGTGGCTGACAAGGCTGTGTAATGATTTCCCTGGCTTTCTGTCACTGCTTAGCTATCTCCTGCCTACTGAGATGGAGGGACACTCAGTGTTCAAACACTGGGGGAGCAGATGACTTCTTATACACTGGATTGGCTTTAAAGAGAGTGGGGTTCATGAAAGGGGGTTGTAGCCATGAGAAGCAACATGAACCCAAGCAGGAGGGGGCAATCAGTGAAGGTGAAGAGGGGTGCAGGCACAGGGCTCACAGAAGCAAACAAGGTGAGGCCCATGGCAGCACTCCGTTGACATGTAGGGACATATATCTTCAGTTCTATGCAACACAGGATTCCTTCTATACTTTAACAGTGCACTGGTGACATTTCCTCGTCGCTGTGACAAGATAACTCACCAAAAGTAACTTGATGAAGGGTTTATTTTGTTTTATTCAATTAATTTATTTTTAGATGTGTCGGTGCTTTGCTTGCATGTTTATCCGTGTGAGCAGATACGATCCCCTGGAACTGGAGTTACAGACAGCTGTGAGCTGCCATGTGGGTGCTGGGAATTGAGCCAGGGTCCTTTGGAAGAGCAGCCAGTGCTTTTAACTACTCATGTCTCCAGCCCTGACAAAGGATTTATTTTGACTCACTGAGGGGATGCTGTCCGTCATGGCAGAGAGGCGTAGCAGCGGAAGTGAGAGCGGTTAAGCGCCGATACTCACCCATTTTCCTTTTTATTCAGTCCTGTACATGAGGCCACGAGCTGGTGTGGTGGTGCAGGTCACACTGAGGATGGCTCCTCCCCCATCAGACAGATTGTCCTAAAACCATCCCCAACAATATACCCAGAAATGTGTTTCCATAGTGATTCCTAATCCAGTCAAGTTGACAATGGAGAGTAATCATCACACATAAAAACTCCTGACATAACAAGCCACTCATGTTACCTAAGTAACAGGTTTTCACCCTCCCCACCACCCATCAGAAGCCTCACTTGGTACCAGAAGATACTGTATAATTTGGCATCAACACCCATAAGCACTTTCAGTGTTGAGGAATCTTATTCATTCACTAGTGTGGAAATATGCATGAAGGAAAGGCACACATTGTACATTCTAGTAAATTCTTTGAGAATTTCAAATCTCTTTTAACTAAACTGCTACTAAATAAAGGACTGAACCAATCTCAGAGGCCACTTGAAAACTTGTGTAACTTCTGTCAGACAACAGGGTGTACTAGGCAACCCAGTAGTTGCTTTGCTCAGAGTAAACCTGGCCTTTTACTTTTTAAATTCTGCTTTGTCTGGATTACTGAGTCGGCGAAGAAAGCTATTATCAGGGTACAGAAAATCTATTACTCTTTTTTGGTTGGTTGTTTGTTTTGTTATTCATTCGAGACAGGGTTTCTCTGTGTAGCCCTGGCTGTCCTGGAACTTGCTCTTGTAGACCAGGCTGGCCTCGAACTCACAGAGATCCATCTGTCTCCGCCTCCCGAGTGCTGGGATGAAAGGCGTGCACCACCACTGCCTGGGTAAACCCATTATTCTTTAAACTGGTGCATGAATAAAAGAAATAAAATGGAAAGGAAAGGACATGACTGCTCATAAATATGTTGGAGGAGAAAGTTTATTGTAGAGAAAAGGGAGAGCACAGAAGAGGCGGGGACATCTGGGAGAGAGCAGAGTGGACATAACCAGACTGAGCTGGGCCATGCAGGAGGGGGGAGAAAAGGAGAGGGTAGAGGAGGGAGAGGGGAACCAGGTGCAGCAGCCAGGAAGCCAAAGGTCACTGTCCCAAGGAATGGAAGAGCACACTCTGGCCAACTGTCTCACGGTTCCTTCAATAAAGGATGGACACAGAAGAGAAGGAAGAGGCTTTGGGAAAACAGAGGGACTAGGGCAAGTTCCAGCCCTCCACTATATAGGAAGCTATAACAAAGTACTACAAACTGTGTGGTTTATGAACAATAAAAGTTTATCACACAGTTCCTGAGAACCAGTAGGCCAAGTTCAAGGCCCACTCTTCTGTGTGTGAGGGTCACTTTCTACTCAAGTGGATACTGCCTTCTTGAGTCCTCACAAGGAGTATAGGGTGGGTGGGAGTGAAGGTATTTTGCGCCCCACATCTTAGAATCTCATCTCTTCTCAAAGGCCCAGGCCTAACACTTCTAATCCCATTGTTTTAGAGATCCAAATGTTGATGTTATTGGGGATTTTTAGGGACAAGTTTTCCTGTGTAGCACAGGCTAGCCTAGAAAGCATGCCCCTCTTGCCTCTCAGCCTTGCTGCATGCTGGGATATAAGTATGATAAACTATGCTTTTTCTAAGCAAGGGGATGACACAGAACACCCCCACCCCATTCACCTATCCACAACAGCCAGTCCAGACTGTTGTTTTAGCTCTACCCCTTATCTGTACCCTGAAAACCTTTTGTTTGTTTGTTTGTTTTTCAAGATATAGTTTCACTGTGTAGCCCTGGCTCTCCTGGAACTCACTCTCTACTAGGCTGGCCTTGAACTCACAGAGATTCGCCTGCCTCTGTCTCTTGTCTGCCACCATGGCTCAGCTGGAAATCTTGATACAACAGCACACCTAGACTTTCAAGAAGAAATGAAAAGAAAATTCTTGTAGAAATAGTGACCACAGCAAAGG